GCTTGAACCGGCCCCCCCACAAAGTGGGGGTATTGCCCGCCTCCTATGAAAACCCTGGCACTGGTGAGAACGGAGTGTCCCCACGTGCTAGTAATTGTTGTTGTTGTTGTTGTTGTTGTTGTTGTTGCTGTTGCTGTTGTTGTTGTTGACGGCCCTGGGGCCCTTCGGGGGCCGAGCGCTGCCAGAAACCTTCCGCCGGGAGTTCTGCACGACGGGAATTCCCTTCGTCGCCGTCCCCGCCGTGGCCGCCGCCGCCGCCGCCGCCGTCGTCGTCGTCGCCGCCGCCGCCGTCGTCGTCGTCGTCGGCGTCGGCGTCGTCGTCGGCGTCGGCGTCGTCGTCGTCGTCGGCGTCGGCGTCGTCGGCGTCGTCGCCGTCGTCGTCGCCGTCGGCGTCGTCGCCGTCGTCGTCGTCGTCGGCGTCGGCGCCGTCGTCGTCGTCGTCGGCGTCGGCGCCGCCGCCGTCGTCGGCGCCGTCGCCGCCGTCGTCGTCGGCGTCGTCGCCGTCGCCGTCGTCGTCGTCGTCGGCGTCGTCGCCGTCGTCGTCGTCGGCGTCGGCGTGGACGTCGTCGCCGTCGGCGTCGGCGTCGTCGCCGTCTTTCGCGGCGAGGCCCCGGCGCCCCAGGCGGCCCCGCCGCAGCGGGGCCCCGCCGCGGGCGGGCACCCGCAGCGGCCGCAGGGGGCGGCCAGGCCGTCGGGCCGCCGCCCGCACGTGGCCGAGGCCCGCGGCCCTCGAGCCTCGCGCCTCGAGCCTCGAGCCCCGAGGCTCCTATCCCCGAGCCTCGAGCCGCGGCCCCCGAGCCTCGGCCTCCTCCTGCTCCTCCTCCTCCTCGTCCTCCTCCTCCTCCTCCTCCTCCTCCTCCTCCTCCAACCACAGCGCATACATGCTGTGATTCGGGCGTGCAGGGAAATCTGGGGATTCTGGTGCAGGGCGGAGAGGCCCTTCAGGTGGAAAAGATCGGTGCTGCGACGCAAGGTGGTAAATGCAGGGCTCGGATGCGTCGAGGGCTGCCTGCCAACCAGAGCCGAAGGGCGGGCTCTGACGATGACGGCGGCGGGACCAGCTCGCAGGGCCATGCACGGTGAAGCCATCACCCACCAGCGCGACGGGCTGGTTTGGAGTCTTTCTAGTTGTGAAAGTAGAGAAGGGAAAGAACAAGTAGAGACAAGGGAGAGAGGCGCGCGCGCGCGACGACGACGAACGAACGACGACGACGCCCGCCCGCGCCCGCCCGGCTCAAACCAACGCCGCCCCCCTCCCTCCCGTCCTCTGCTGCGCCAGGCGCGGGGGCCGGCAAAGGGGGCACTACGTCAGTGGCGCATATTGCCTCTACAGATGGAAGCGATCGTACGGCGACTTGCGCTGATCCAAAAAATACCGCGGAACCCCATGCGACGCCAGCAAGTACGTGCAGCCACATTTGGGCAACATGCCTTGGAATCCGAACCGACGGTTTGTGACGACGGCGCGCTGCACCCGCGGTGTAAGCAATGGGCTAACATAATATTCAAGGACTTCGAGGAGGCGTGTCGCACGGACATGTTTGCTCGCAAGTGGACCTGGACATCCGTCCTACTATTGTTTTCGTTCCCGACTTGTAGGAAGCGCGCAGAGTCCTTGAGCTCAAGGAGCTCCGACAGGCCCGCCGAGCCCGCACTACCCCACCCCCGGGATTCCCACGCCAGGGGCCCGAGCAGCAGCAGCAGCAGATGTAGCAGAGGATGCTGTCCGAGAGTGCCCCTTGGAAGTGCTAGGTTGTGGACGTGGCACCGACGACGGCGGGGTCCGAAGTGTTGATGACGTGTGTGTATGAGGAGGGATTGCATCCGGCCGAGGGTATGATGTGCGGAGCGTGCTTCTGTTCGCGTGAAGCGCCGATGTCCCACATGCGCAGCGAACATAAGTATAGTTATGCGGCGTCCCTCCCCGCGCCGACTGACGAGCGCATGAACTTCGGCGTTGTGCTTGGAGAGAGCATCGCGACAGGTCGACGCGTGATGAGAGCGCTACTTGCAGGGCGATGCCCTGCAGACAGAACGCGCGCGATGAGACAGATCGAGCCCTTCACCCCGACATGCCAGCTATGTGGATACGCCAACAACGACGAACAACAGCTCCACGAGCACCTCCGCAGTCAGCTCCTCAGAAGTATTCTGCAGCCGGCCTCCCCGACGGGCCCTCGCGCCCGACCGACAGCAGAGCCAGCCCGACGCGAGGGGGATCTGCGCCATGCCCGGAGGAGTTTCGCAGGCGGCGGGCCCAGGACAGACCGAGATGGCGGTGGAGCAGCAGGACTTCCAGGAGATGCCCAGGCGGGCGAGCAAGCGCCCCCTCGCGGCGGGCACGGAAGGGGGCCCCAGCGGCCAAGGATAACAAGCCCAAGGGCAAGGGCCAGGCCCGGGCCGCGACCAGGACTACGAGCGCCTCGAGGAGATCGCGGTCACGACGACCAAGCTCGCACTGAACTACGAGCGGCGCATGCGAGTGCTGGGGGCTCAACGCAGACAAGCCCATGGCGGTCTTCTCGACCCAGGCGGGCAAGCAGGGCAACGAGGACGCGCAGAAGCTGAAGGAGCAGCACGCCAGCGACTCCAACGCAGGCCTCGCATCGCTGGGCCCGCCGCACCTCGAGATCATCGCCGCGGAGATCAAAAATGCTTCAGACATCGTCTCGCCCGGCGACAAGCAGATCCTTGTCGTGTTCTGGAAGGGCGCGGCCTTCCAGGGGGGGCCCGGGTTGCTGGGAACGCGCGCGAAGGACTTCCAGGCAACAGTGAAGAAGCAACCCAGGCAGAGCCAAGAGAAAATGCGGCTGATCTGTTCCTTCGACTTGCACGCGCCCGACATGAGAGTCGCGCGAGACGCGTGGATCTTGGAAATCAAGGACGGCGGCCAGCACAAGCCGGGCGGGGCCCCCAGGGGCCCGATGCAGCGCGGGCTCACGAAGCTCGTCTATCCGAAGACATGGGATTTGGCTCGGTACCAATGCCCGAACTTGTGCCACATTGGCCTGAAGAGGACCCCCCACAGCGTCTCCGACTCGCGCAGGCATATCTGCGCAGCAGTCCAGGGAGGGCGTCTGCCAGCTCTGTCCCGCCTACATTTTGCGATATTGACCGCTACAGCGCGCTGGCGGCAGCAGGGAGATAGAGCGCCCAGCCATCCAGTTCCAGCATGTCAGGCGAATCTTGACTCGAGAGTTCTCACGCCACGCCCTGGCCAGTCGCGCCCACAGAAAGGCAAAGACAAATATCGAAAAGGCGAAGGCAATAATCCATGACACCTTTTCTTTTGCAGCTTGCAATTACCCGCTGGGGTAGGTCTCCCAAAAGCGAAAAACGGGCCCCCTTCAGAAATCCCCGGCAGCGGGTGGGATTCAGAGCGCTGCTTAATGATTGTCATGTCCCGAGTGCCCGCAGGCAACCAGCCCGCCAGTGCGCGGCAGTGGGCATGCCCGCAGGGCTGGTGCGTTTCTTGACGCGTGCGCACCTGCGCGAGTGAAGGGGCTTCCCTCGATAGACCCAGAACCAGGCTGACATGACATAGTACACTCTGCTGAGGTAGTGTAACAGCCTAGTCAGTGACGACACGTTAGGTCCGATTCATGTCTTGTCTTGTCCTCCTCCTCCTCCTCCTCCTCGAGCTTCTCCTCTTCGAGCTTCTCCTCCTCCTCCTCCTCCCCCTCCTCCTCCTCCTCCTCCTCCTCCTCCTCCTCCCCCTCCTCCTCCTCCTCCTCCTCCTCCTCCTCCTCCTCCTCCGCCTCCTCCTCCTCCTCCTCCTCCTCCTCCTCCTCCTCCTCCTCCTCCTCTCGAGCTGGCCGCCGCCCGAGCGTCGCCGCAAGGCCCTCGCGGCGCAGGCCCTGGAGGCCAAGGCGGCGCGGACGAGGCAGGAACTGGAGGCCACGTCGTCCCGCTCTTAGGAGGAGGAGGAGGAGGAGGAGGAGGAGGAGGAGGAGGAGGAGGAGGAGGAGGAGGAGGAGGAGGAGGAGGAGGAGGAGGAGGAGGAGGGAGGGGGAGGGAGGGAGGGAGGGAGGAGGTGGCGGCGGCGGCGGCGGCGGCGGAGGAGGAGGAGGAGGAGGAGGAGGAGGAGGAGGAGGGGGAATAAGAAGAATAATAATAAGAAGAAGAAGAAGAAGAAAAGGAGGAGGAGGAAGAGGAGGGAGGGATGGGGGGAGGTGGGAGGAGGGGCAAGCTCTGTGCGCTCGCGTCATATCTGACATCCTACCCCGCCCTCCCATCCCTTACCATGGCGTAGATCCCCTCTCTACTCGCACAGTCGGATGTCGAGCAGGGCAATGATCCCGAAAGGGTACGCGATGCATTGTAGAGCACGGCATGGCATGGCGTAGAAGAGCACCGCAAAGCGTAGTATCAACCTAGCATTGCATTGCATGCCGTGGCATGGCACGGGAAATGACGCCAGCGCTGCAGCGGGAGCACGAGTCGAAACGAGCGGAAGCGCGGAAATGAGGCCAGCGCTGCAGCGGGAGCACGATTCGGAACGAGCGGAAGCACGGAAATGAGGCCAGCGCTGCAGCGGGAGCACGATTCGGAACGAGCGGGGCCCGAAAATGAGGCCGGCGCCTCAGCGAGAGCAGCATTTTGAAAAAAATGCAGGCGAAAATCCAACTCCGGGGAAACCTGTGTGTAAAAAACAATACGCGGGGGGGGGTCGGACACTTTCAAACCGTCATCAGGGGAAGAGGGAGAGTAGTATTCATATTGAGTAATTGTGGAGGGAGGAGGAGGAGGAGGCGGAGGAGGGGGAGAGGAGGATGAGGAGGAGGAGGAGGAGGAGGAGCAGGAGGAGCAGGAGGAGCAGGGAGGAGCAGGAGGAGCAGGAGGAGGAGGAGGAGGAGTACGAGGAGAGAGGATGAGGAGGAGGAGGAGGAGGAGGAGGAGGAGGAGGAGGAGGAGGAGGAGGAGGAGGATGAGGAGGAGGAGGAGGAGGAGGAGGAGGAGGAGGAGGAGGAGGAGGACCTCTCCGCTCGCACTCCCCGCAGGTGTCCGGGGCTCCCCTCGCTGATGCCTCGGCCAGGGTCCCGGTCTCCCCGCTGCAGCCGCCGTTCCTCGACCCGATGGCGTATGCGGCCGGTCTCGGCCTGGCGCCGCCGGGGGGGCCCTTGCGCTCACCAGCTCGAAGCGCATCGTATCTGTGTCCCTGCTTGTGGCGTTCCAGGAAGGGCCTTACCTTCCAGGGTCGAAGGAGCTGCCATCCCTTCCTCGGCGGAAGGGCGGCGGAAGTAAAACGAGGCCGCCCTCGGCCGGCGAAAGCCGGCGGAAGCTCGGCGGAAAGCCGCGGAAGTAAAAGATGCGCCCCCAAGAGATGACAACGCTTTTGGGTCCAGGGTTTCCGACATCGGCCGTTTGGCGGCGCGCAGAGGGGGTATGGGTGAGGGGGGGATCTGCTTCTTAGAAGGAGGCTGCTTCTTAGAAGGTGCCAGCCCTCCATGTGCAGGTAAGGCCCGCGCCTTCTGAGAAGCAGGGGTGCTTCTCCCCACCCCACCTCTGCGCGCCGCAAGCCTATGTTTGGCATCACCTTGCGAATCTTTTCGAGCGTGGCTGGCCACCGAAAGTGGTTGAGGATGGGCTGGAGATGACCGACGAGGCAATGATGCAATGGTGTCCTCGGAAAGTCGAGCTTCCTTCACGATCAGTTTTGACTGTACCTCGGTGCCGATCTTAAGGATGCCCTCATTCTCTGAGGGCACATCCCTAAGACTGCCATCGCCTTGGGCTTGCCGATCTTTAGGGATAGGGATAGGTTCGAGGCTGGTTTTGAGCGGTGCGGCGTGGAGGGGAGGGAGTTGGTCTGAGGTGGGAAAGGTACGGACACCGCTGCTCTTGCCCCTCCGGGCCTCCCGGATGGGGTCATGGTCTGGTCGGGCGTTTTTTGGATGTGGACGACGTGTCGCTCCGCCGGTTCTGGCCCACCACGCTTCAGCGCGATACGCTTTGCTCTTCCCAGCCCCCAGGCGTCAATGTCCCGAGCTCCCTGGAGCCGCCCGCGACCGCGGAGCGGAGCGACACGCTGTCCGCTTGCAGGGCACAGCGTGTCGCCCGGGCCGGGATGGTCCGAGCTCATTCTTTTCAGCTCTCCAGGGCCCTTACCGGGCCTCGGGGCCGTCAGGAAACGACTCAGGATGAAAAGCCGATCCAGGGGAATAGGTCGAGACCACTGGTGGTCCACGTCAGGAACCAAGTCATGACGTCTACGGTCTGGGGGCACCGCTACCCTTGCCTCTAGGCTCTGAGAAGAGGTCATATAGCAGATGGGGTCGGAGGAACGCGCTGCATCGCCGATGCATCCCCGATGCGACTCGATGTGGAGCCCGACTCTCTCCACGCCGACGGCGCCGATGCATCGGCGATGCGGCGCGATCCTCCGACCATATCTACTCGGAGCCCATGTAGGAGGTCTCTGAGTGCGGCGTGGAGGGGAGGGGGATGGTCCGAGGAGGAAAGGGTCTCGACACCGCTACCATTCTGGCACAGGGTTGCCTTGAAAAAAAGTGTCTCTCAGCAGCCTGTAGTAGACACTGTTAGCCTGCACTGCACATGAGACTGGGTTGTTCGATCGCACGAGCCGAAGGAGAAAAAACGGCATAAGCATATGTACACTCTGGGCGCTCCGCGCGGATTCCTGGGATCCGCGCTGGGCCCCAGTCTGGTGCCGATCCAAGAAGTCCGCGCGGAGCGCCAAAAGTTTATGTTGATACTGTTTTTCTTCTTCTTCTTCTTCTTCAGCGAGAAACAACAAAGAAGGTTTGCCCCGCGGCGCCCGAGGGAAGTGGTCGAGTGGTCGAGCCATCGGAGAGGGCGCGCCCCTGAGGGCCCGCGCTGCCGGGCCACCGCCCGGCGGGGCGGGTCCTGCTCGGGGCCGGGGCCCCCTCAACGAGCATTGTCCGTTTGATCTATATGGGCCAGAAAAAAAAGTCGGGCGCGTCCCTCTACAGGGGGAGTCTTCAAAAGTAGTCCAGAGACAGTCCGGGGACGGTTCGTTCCGAACACTTTTGGAGCAGTTCCGATCGTTCGGCCTCGGGTCGGGCGCGCCTCCCCATGCAGGGGGACACGCCCGACCTCGGGCCGGGACGCTGCCGCGCCAAAGGAGCGCTGCGGCCGTGGCCCGGCACCTCCTTCGCACTGTGCGGAAGGCTCTCGCGCCGTGTCGACCTGGCGGCGGCCCCGCCGCGGGCGCTCGACGTGGAGCGCCGCCGGCGACGCAGAACCGGCCGACGTGGAGCGATCCGACGCTTTCGGAGGCGACGATGGGGGCGAATGGCCCAGGGTAGAGCAACAATACTCCAGATTTCGTAATAGAGGGAGGGGGGTCTCGTTTCGGGGGGGGTCTCTTCCAGGCTATCTTGGAGGGCCTGGGGGGTCTGGGGGCGATGTTTTGGAGGGTTCTCCCACGGGGGAGGTCTGAAATGGCTTGTCTTGGAGGGTCCAGACCCCCTCCCTTTTATTACGAAATCTGGAGTATTCGGGTGCGCCGATGAACTATGTCTTCGAAAAGGCTCCAGGCGAATACGTCTAATGCCCGCCCCTGGGCTATTCGCCCCTATCGCCGCCGCCGAGAATCGGTCGACGTGGAGCAATCCGTCGTTTCGGGAACGGCCAGGCGCTGAAGGTGGAAAGCCCTCCGCGGTGTCGGGAACCAGCGCCGGTGTCGGCACGACACGAATCTGCCGCAACCAGTTCTCTCCGGGGGACATCTCGCAGAGTCCTGGCCAGCAGTTCGGGGGCGGCCAAGAGGGGGGTGACGACTAGGGGGATGTGGATATCATGGCGGGGGCCACGATACCTTCCCAGATTTCATAGCCCGTCTTCTTATTTCAATGCGTTCCCTGCCCCCCCTGGTCCGCGCACATGCCTCGGCCCATGATTTGCACACCCCTCTTGGGCACCCCCCGAGCAGTGTCTCCGAGCAGGAGGAATATTCGAAAATAGTCCCCCCAAATAGTCTGGGGAGGATTTTGAGTGCATATTCATGGCACCGGAGAAAAAAAACACTCATAATCTTGTTAGGGTTGTAGGACTATAGGGCTATGTGGGCTATAGGGCTATAGGGTAATAGAGCTACAGGGCTATAGGGATATTGGGCTATAGGGTATAGGGGTATAGGGCTATAGAGCTATAGGGCTACACGGCTATAGAGCTATAGGGCTATTGAGCTATAGGGCTACAGGGCTATAAGGCTATATAGAGCTGTAGGGCTAGAGGGCTATTGGGCTATAGGGCTATAGGGCTATAGGGCCCCCCCGGGCACCCGGGCACCCCCGAGCACCCCTGGGCACCCGGGCACCCCCAGGCACCCGGGCACCAGGGCGTGCAGCGAAACTCGGTGACAAACTTGACCTAACCATCTGAATCCGCGAGGACCCCTACAGAGGCAAGCTCTGCTTGGGGAAGCACATCTTGTGAGATATTTGTTGCATATTGTTGATTCTGTCGCCCAGCATCCGCCTGTACCCTGACCTTCCAGAGAGCTATGTTTTAGAACGGGAGGCCTAAAAACCTGAAAACGAAAGGAAACAGCCTTAAAGCCAAGGCGCAGAATAGCTCTGGGATAGGTTTTTGAGTCGCGTGCTACCTTCTAGCCCTCCTGGAAGGTCAGGGCAGGGGGACATGCCCGACCTAACTGAGGCCAGCAGTGTCCCAGCCCAGGGGGCCCCGACCCCGCCCGTGCTCCGCAGGCCTCCCGGTCGGTCGCCCGGCGGGGCTCTGCCCGCCGAGCCCCTGGGCCGGCAAAGATGGGCAAAAAGTCGTCCGGGGGCGATCCTCTTGCATTCTTGTGAGTTTTTTTTTGGGGGGGGGAGGTATGCTTCGACTCTTTTTCTTTTCCATGCCCGACCTGAGGCCAGGACGAGGCCAGGTCCGTTCTCGGAGCCTTCCGGCAGAGCGTTCCGGGACGCCCCGAGAGGGCCGCGGCGCCCGAGAGATCCTCCAGAGCCGCCGGATCTCGGAGAGTCTCGATCTATCTTCAGTCGACTTAATCCTCGTCCTGGCTTCGTCTTAGGAGGGAGGGGGATGGTGGACACGGGGGCGGAGGTCCAGGAAGCAGCGGCATCGGTATAGTTTTGCTCCCCACAGTCGCTCCTAGCGGATCCGCCTGGGGGGCCCCGAGAAGGTGCAGCCGCCATTCTCGCGTGTCTGCTCCCGCCAGGCCTGGCCCCCGGGTTGACTTCGCGGAGGGGTGTCTGGCGGAAGGGGGGTCGACGTCCGCCAATTCTCGGCGTCGAAGAAAGTTAACGCTATAAACATAAACTTTCGACGTTCCGCGCAGAGTTCTTGGATTGGCGCCTTGGACCCCCTGGCGGCGCCTCCGGCGCCGCCCCTGGCGCAGATCCAAGAAGCCCACGCGGAGCGCCAGTAGTTTATTCTTATCGCGTTTTTTCTTTTTCTACGGCGGCAGTCCCTTGAAGGGGCCCCAGGACACACGAATGACTACACACATTTTAAACTATCCCCCACACATTTCCCCCTATCTTGGGGGTCCTCGTCTTCCCCCCCCCCCACACTTCCCCCATATGTTCCCATACTTTCGGGGGAATCGACGATGAATTGTGCCTTTTTTTTTTTTTTTTTTTTTTTTTTTTTTTCCCCCCCTCCTGCTTCCTCCCTCTTCCTCCGCGGCCGCCCCGCGATCCTCCGCCCGCTCCGTCGAGCGCTCCGGTGTCGCTCCGGAGCGCTCCGGCGCGGCGCGTCGGCTCTGTAATTATCAAAGCCGCGCGTTCGCGCCCGCCGGCGCGGGCGCGGCAGGTCTCGTGCGAGCGGGGGGTCCCGGCCCAGGCCCGGCCGACCGGGAGTGCTCGGGGGCGGCAAAGGGGGGGGTGATGACCACCCAGATGGTCTGGTACCGGAAATTTGCGGTAGCGATTTCGACGCACCCCGAATTTCGGTATAGCGACCGGATCTTCGTTTGAGGGCGTGGAAATAGCGGAGTTCAGAACGCTCTGATACCGGTACTGGGCGCTACATTTCGGTATTTCGGTAGCGACCGATCTCTGCGGAGCGCTACCGGAATTTTTCGGTAGCGGACCATCTGGGATGCGAACGGGGGTCCCGGCCCAGGCCCGGCCGACCAGGAGTTCTCGGGGGCGGCAAAGAGGGGGGTGATGGCTAGGGGGGGTGGATATCGTGGCTGGGGCCATGACATTCCGCAGATCTCCTGGCGCCTCTTCTCGTTTCATTGCGTCCCTGGCCCCCCCGCTGGGCCGCGCACATGCCGCAGGTCGTGACTTGCACCCCCCCCCCTCTTGGACACCCCCCTCTCGGCCGCTCCCGAAGTTCCCGCCCTTGCTTTCCTTGCCGGTCTTTTTTTTTATTGTTTCGGTCGGCGCACGCGCTGGTATCATGTGAAGCTCTTGGCCGCGCAGCGCACTACGGACCGCGAGGCAGAGACAAGGCCAGCTCAAAACGTGCACGTTGGCCGCTCGAGCTTGAGATTAGGATTCGGCGTTTGAGACGGGAGTGGTTTGGAGAGGTTCAGGGAGGATGTGAAGCCCCTGGCCCCGAAGGTCACCACACAAGCGACTGTTTTGTAGAGTTGTTGTTTCTGCGTGCCAGTGTTCTTCGCTGGAGTTTTTAATAGTGCACTTTGGCTGTTCGAGCTTGAGATTTGGATTCCGCCGACGGTGACCAGAAACATTGTTTTTTTGCGCTGCATTTTTTCATCGCTGTATTTGTTAGTGGGTGCTGCAGTTTTGGCTGCTCGAGCTGCACGTTTGAGACGATGCCTTGCAATTTCCTTAGATTTGTAACACGAAGCGCGCGGCGCTTAGGCCATGATCAAATTCTGAACCAGGTACCGACATCCATTTGCAAAACTGTTTTCACATAAAAGGCCAATGTGCGCTGCGCTATGATGAGACCTACACTTTGAAACAGTGCGTGTTTGGGGATGGTGATGATGTTGATGATGGTGATGAGGAGGAGGATGAAGATGAGCATGAGGATTAGCGTGAGTATGATGATGAGGATGTTACTGATGATGGTGACGATGCTGCTGCTGCTGCTGATGCTGCTGCTGATGATGATGATGATGATGATGATGATGATGATGATGATGATGATGATGCAAACGCAGATGCCGACAATGATGATCACAGAGAGGGTGCCCGAGCGGTCTGACTCCGTCCCTGCTCGCGTTCGTCCATCTTGGGCTCGTCCCCCCGGCGGCCACGCTAGGAGGTATAGTCGGACCGAGGTATAAGATCGAGGTCCTTTCGGGGAGGGTACACTCGTGAATTTCGTACTGGTTGGATGTTCTTGTGCATCCTGGGGAGGGTACCCTTGGATGTTCTGCTTGTTTTGGGCGACGGAGGGTCTGATGTTCTTGAGGGATGTTCTTCTGCCCTGGGTCCGACTGTAATGATGCTGATGATGACGATGATGATGATGACGATGATGATGCTGATGATGACGATGGTGATCAAGATTAAATGGTATGAACATTATGCTGATAATAATAATGCAGATGCTGATGCTGTGGCTGATGATGATGCTGCTGCTGATGAGGATCATGCTGCTGCTGCTGCTGCTGATGATGATGATGATGATGATGATGATGATGATGATGATGATGATGATGATTATTTAATCGTTTGGCTCATTCCGCCGGCCCTCGAGCGCTCTATGGGGCCTTTTGGAAGCCTCTTGGGGGCCTCTTTGGGGTCTCCTAGGGGCCTCTTGGGGGCCTCTTGGGGGTCTCTTGGGGCTCCTTGGCGGCGTCTTGGGGCCCCCTTGGGCCTCTTGGGGGGCTCTTGGGGGCCTTGGGGCGGGGTAGTTGAGTTGGCCCCCCTCGGAGGCCACGATCCTCGTGAGGGGTGTCGAAAAAAGGCCCTCAAAACCATCTCTGAGTAGACCTGCTCGGGCTGCGGTCGGGATACTTTTCGCCGGGAGACCCCCAGGGGCCGCCCCGCGCACGCGAACTAGAAATATTGCTAACCAGTTACCGGAGATCTTAGCACGCCTCTGGCCCGTTGGGCCGGCGAATTATGATGACGATGATGGTGGTGATGATGATGATTCTCATGATGAGCATGATGAGCATGATGGTCATGATGTGCATGATGATGGTGATTGTGATGGTGATGGTGATGGTGAGTGTGCTTCTGGTGCTGCTTCTGCTACTGCTGCTGCTGCTGCTGATGATGATGATGATGATGATGATGATGATGATGATTCATGATGATGATGCTGCTGCTGCTGCTGATGATGATGATGATGATGATGATGATGATGATGATGATGATGATGATGATGATGATGATGATGATGATGATGATGCCGAAGACGACGAAGACGACGAGGAGGAGGAGGAGGAGGAAAGGTGGAAAACTCGAGATGAGGAGATGAGCAGCGGAGGAGGAAAGCAGCAGCAGCAGCAGCAGCAGCAGCAGCAGCAGCAGCAGCAGCAGCAGCGGGCGGAGGGCGCGCGGCTCGCGCGTCTGCTGGCCGGCGGGGCGCCAGGGCAGCCCCGGCTTCGCCGACGGCTTCGGCGCGGGCGTGTACTGCCCGGGGGCGCCGCTGCTGCCCGCGGCGCGCCCTCCCCCTCCCCCCTCCCTCCCTGGGGCTCCCTTCTCGGGGCTCCCCTCCCCCTCCCTCCCTATGGGGCTCCCTCCCCCTCCCTGGGGCTCCCTCCCAGGGCTCCCCTCCCCCTCCCTCCCCCTCCCCCTCCCTCCCCAGGGCTCCCTTCCCCGCCCTCCCCTCCCCCCCATCCCTCCCGAGGGCTCCCCTCCCCCCGGTGGGAAAGGGATGCCTCTCCCAGCGGCCCAGTACCAGTACCATGGTTATCTGTTGGAGACAGCGCGCGGCGCCGAGAGATAGATCTAACGTTGTGGACGACAATCAAGAGCGTGTTTCTTGATTGCTTGGGGCATAATGGGCATCATTGCCCCCGGCCCCCCCCCCCCATCCCCCCAGCTATAACGTAACGCCCCTCCCCTACACCCCCCAGTACGCTCTGGGCGCTGCCGCCGTGCGCACGGCGGGGGGGAGGCGTTACATTATACCTCCCCTCTGGTTCCTCCCCCCCCAATAATGCCCATCATCGCCGAAAATGAAGAAACGCGCTCCAATGGAGAGGAAGCATGTTGCCAAGTAAGTGCCAGATGTCTAAGACATGTTTAGACATTGTCTTCACCATGCAAAGCACTTGTTTCAAACATTGTCGGAACATTTTTCTCACATCTGGGACATATTTCAAATTCAAGGATCCGTCCGCTCCTGTGTCTCACGCGGCGGCGCAGCATGGCTGCGGTGATATTTGCAGTGGTCGAGGCTGGAAGCATCATATCGTGATGGTGGCTCGTGCCCTCGGCGGCCCTGGCGGCACAGCGCTGCACACGGACGGGGACTTTTGGATACTCCGCGTTTCTTAATGAGCGTCGGGGGGCATTACCCCCGTCGCGGGCAGCCACCGCGCGCCGAAGGCGCTCCGACCCCCGTCGCGGCGCGACGACGAGGCGAGGTTGACCCCCGTCGGGAGGGTACCCCCCACGCTTATCAAGAAACCCAGAGTACAGATCGAGGAGCAAAGCGTTGCATAAGCATAACATTTCGGAGCCTCGCGTGGATTTCTTGGATATGCGCTGGGCCCCCCCTCCCGGCGGCGCCTCCGGCGCCGCCCTTGGCGCGCTCCGCGCGTCAGGGAGGGTGGTCGAGAGGAAAGAGTGGTGGAGGCGGCGGGATCCGCAGCCTTTCCGTGGACCTTTTGGGTCCGCCCCTCGATGCTGTCCTGCTTCCAGCGCTTGTCCTGGACCTTGGTCGTCTCCGAGTCGATGGGGCCGCTGGCCTGGGTGCCACTGTGTGCGGTGCCCTTCTCGTTAGGAGTCCGCTCCACAAGCGGCACGTCCGGGGTGTCCGAAAGGGTCCCGAGATTCTCCCGCCCTGCGCTCCCGTCCTCCACGCGCTCCGCTGTAGACGTGCTGCTGTTCGCCTGCTGGGGGCGCCTCCTCTCCAGGGCTACCTGCCGCACAGCGGGCTTCAGAGTGTAGCGGCAGCTGCCCGCAGCGAGCACGTCCCCGCCGCGCGTCGTCCGCGCGCCGACCCCACGCGCTCGTCTCGAGCCGCCTGCCACACGAGGAGCACCGGCTTTGGCTTCCTCTGGGCGACGCCGATCTCACAGAAGCGTGCGGCTTCACTCGGCTTGTCACCTCGTCGAGGATAGAAGCCCCTTATCCCGAATAGCACGATGAAGACGCAGCCTCACTGATGTCCCCGTCTTGGCACTAGGGACCATACACCTGGGTGGTTTGGTTCGATACACGTCCAGGAAAGAGCCCCTATCCCTGATGGTTGTGGCCCCCCTAACCAGGGTCTTCCCCCAAAGGGCCATGGGCCCCTTTATATTTCTAATCATCACCCGTCCCGCGGAAGCGCAGGCCCCGGCATCGCTTGTCGGGGATCCCCAGGCGGTGCGGCGACCACACCGTGTGGCCACCGCGCGGTCTTCTGGGGCTCGGGTCGTTGTCCGAGGACCGGCCACGCGCAGAAGGGGGGTAGGGGGAGGGTGGAGTGCTTCTTGGAAGCACCCCTGCCTCCTAGAGGGTGCGGGCCTGACTCTGTAGATATGAGGCCGGCGCCTTCTGAGAAGCAGCCTCCTTCTAAGAAGCCCTCCCCCCTCCCCCGACCCCTCTCTGCGCGCCGCCAAGAGGACGTCTCGGGTGGCTGGTTAAAACGGGGCTAGGATCGGGGTAAATCGCTCCAGAGCGTTCCGGAGCGCTCTCAGAGCGTTCCGGAACGCTCTGGAGCGGCCGCAGCGCCCAATACATCCTCCAAACCCGCCGGCCCTCAGAGATTTCGAGTTAAATCCCGATCCGATTTTGTCCCGATCCTCGCGTCGTTTTGCTGGTGCCTCCTGCGGTGGCGGGCCGTGCGGCGAGGCCTCTGCGGACTGCGGGCGCTCTCCGAGAGCAGCCCGTTGCCGCGAAAGGCCGGGGGGTCTCCCCGGGGAGGGGGAGCCCCGGCAGGGCGCGGGAGCCTCCTTGGGTCAAGCAGTGGCGAGGCGTCCTCGGGGGTGGACAGAACCCCCAACAGTGACACGTCGATTAGTGAATTGTCCGTTTTCGGTTCTCGAGAGGGCGCCCTGGTCGTTATTTTCCAGGCTTGCGCCCGCCAGGCTTGGGCCTCAGGTCGTTTTCACTAAACCACGTTTTACTAAAGGGGGGTCTGTCCATCCCCGACGTCCTGGCTCGCCTATAGCCCTGCCAGGCAAAGTTCTAAGAACCTTCTTGTGGTCTCCACGACAGGCTCTCAGAACATGTCTGGCTGATATTTGTCTTGGTTTCACACCTCGGGCTCATGTTCTAAGAGCATCGCTTTTGCTCTTCGAACATGTTTGGGTCCGGAGAACATCTCGCGGTAGGACTACAGGAATGCCGGGGCGGTCGGTCCCTGCTCAGCTGGGGGAGGGGGCGAGCCTCCCCCCCCGAGGCTCGGGAGGAGTGATCTCGTAGTCTCTCTGGAGCGCGCGGGCTGCGCCCGCGGCAGAGACTCGAGGCGCCCTGCCGAGGGTGCGCCGGGCGCTCCCCCCCGGCGACGCGCGCACCAAGAGATCTTGTAGTATATATGCGTCGTGGCGCGCGCTTTCAGGCCACGCCGCTCGGGGAGCGATCCATTACAAGATGGGTGCACCATATGTTCGGGTCGGACGCGCGCCTCCAAGGAGGATATCTTGTACCAGGATGTCTTTGTGCGTCCCAGTCAGGGCAGTCGATCTGGCCGCGACGGCGGCGATGGACACAGGAGGAAGGAGAGTTCTGGAGGGGGTGAGGGAGGAGGGAGGATCGGGGGCAACATCAGTGGGGACGTATGCTCAGAGGGGATGCATCGGCCCCCGATCGCCCATTCATCGCCGATAGCGGCTCGACAGCCCACCCCGATCCGGATCGTGCGGATTTGCAGTCGGGGGCCTATCGCCGATCCATCGGCCATGTATCGCCGATCCATCGGCCAGATGCTCCCGCCCCGGAGCGCGGTGGAACGCGGCGTCGCCGGGCGCGCCGTCGTCCCCTTTGGACCTGCCAGAGAAAACACGGCATACGGTGAGGGCACTGGATCATAAGAGGGAGGAGGAGGAGGAGGAGGAGGAGGAGGAGGAGGAGGAGGAGGAGGAGGAGGAGGAGGAGGAGGAGGAGGAGGAAAAGGAGGATGCGAAGGGCCAGCGGTGCCAGGCACCCCCGATGCCTGCGACCGCGCCTGGCTCGCTGCCTGCGGCGCTCCAGGCCCGGGCGCTCTGCTGCCGCTGCCGCTCTCTGCGCGCGCGCGCGGCGTGCCGCCCGCCCAGCCGGGAGCAGTCTGCAGTGAAGCCGGGCCTGCCCCTCTGCAGGAGGAAGACTCCAGGGCGAAAATCCCCTTTGTAGGGGGACACGCCCGACACAAGAGCCGTTGAAACACAGTCCGGGGGACGATCTGTTGCGCACGTGTCGGCTACTTCTGAACCTCTCTGGGGCCTCGTCTTTGACCCTTCGTCCGAACCTCCGCCCGCAGGGAGGCGTGCCCGACCTCCGTCTGCAGCAGGGCCGGCGGGGGGGGGGAGGGCCGGCGCCGGACCTGGGCAGCGGCCGGGGGGCCGAGGCAGGGGCGGCGGGGAGCGGGGCCAGCGAAGGGGTGCGCCCCGCGCCTCCCCCGGCCGCGGGCACGGCGGGCAAGCGGCGGGGCGCCTGCGGCAGGCCGCCCCCGCCCCGGGTGCTCCGCGACGAGGGCCCCGGGCCTTCTTCCAGAGAGCTTTGTTTGAGCACCGGAAGTCTAAAACGCTGTTCTCCAACGGGGCGCCCCCGCCGCGGGGAGGCGCGGGGCGCCCCGTTGCGAGGCCCCTTCGGCGGGAACGCTGCTCTGGGACGCGGGGCCGACGGAGGGAGCCGCTGGGGCAGAGGACCTGGCCCGGACAAGTCAGGAGTTGAGCCGGCGAGGGAAGCCAGGGACCGCCGGGTCGCTGTTCACAACCCAGAGAAGTCGGGAACAGGGCCGGAGAATAAGCTCTGCGACCGCAAGGGCACAGTTTCAAGCCAGGAGCGGTCGGGAATATATGCAGTGCGGGAAAGTGGTGACTGTCTACGTGAGGGCAATGTTTTAGGGGCGATTGAGGGGATGAGCTTGATTCGAGACGCTTCGCAGTCACCGTCTGCCCACTGAAGTTCTCGCCGAAAGATGTACATATTCCGATAATAGGGAAAATTCCCACCGCAGGTGTTTTTTTTCAATGCCCGTCGTCACTACCAACGGATCAGCGACATTGACACCGACTGTCTGGACCATTGCTCCCTATCCGCAGCAGGAGGCACGCAAAGCGGCCCGACAACCGCCCAGAGGGCAACAGCAAGGGCCGAAGAGGGCCCCGAGAAGAGTTTACAAAGGAGCCAAGAACGGCTCGAGGCGGCATAGGCGAGCTTCCGCACCGCCCTTGCGTAAGCATCCCCTTGTTGGGCCCGGGCTCCGTGCGACTCCCATGGAAACAGGGTGGCATTGGCGGCAGATTGGGGCTCGGTTCTGGAATTCAGATTAGGCCCAGAATCGTTCACACATCGACCTTTAGCGCGTTTACAACGCTGCGTGATGAGGATTGTGAGACTGCAGCAGACGAGCCCGTAAGTCGGCTATAAGAGGCGTCCAGGCGACCCTTGGTTGAGCAAGAATCGTCAAGATCTAGAGTTTTATGGTGCTGAAGCTTCCAGCTTGTACCGAGGAGAAAGAAGATGACTATGATCAAGATGTCGCGGGATTTAGTCGACGCCTATTTCGGTCATGGCCAATGTCGGGCGAGGCTGATCAGGGTGAGCGATGACCAAGACCAGCACCATCGGTTCCGCGCTCAGTCTTGGTCATGGTCATTGTTTTCCTCCCTCCATGGTAGACGTGAACGTGGGCCCTATCGTTATTCTGGAGGGCCCCAATCGCCGATGTTGGAGGCGAAGAGGGTGCCCGACGGGGCCACATTGGAGCATCATGCGCCCCAAACGCGTCTTTGGAGTGGTATGGATCTCAAGGTCGTCTGGGACGTCGAGGGGTATGACACGTAGCACTCCGTAATTGCGGATACGAGTAAGGGGGGGCGGGCGCGGGATTGTTCGTGGGCGAGTCGCGGGCGAGTCGCGGGTGGGTCCTTGGGTGGGTCGCGGGGTGGTTCGCTGGGGGGCACGACGACATCAACAGCGCACAGGAACACAGAACAGCAAACATATAACGGGCCACGGAAGCCCATTGCACCCACGCGCCCAGAGATGGTGTAGGACCGTTCGGCCCCCTCGTTTCAATGTTTCTGGAAGAAGCAAAGCCTGCACAGGTTGTGCAAGGGGAGTTGTGCAACAGGGGTTCTGCAAGGGTCTGTGCGAGGTAGTGCACGTGTTTTCGGTAACTAGTGCTTCCGTTATCTATAGCAGAGTTTGATTCAAGAGGTTTTCGCCATTTCGTTTCGCCTTGGGCTCCTGGGAGCTTTTGCGTGCATGTGTGTGTAGCGTGCCACTCGCTCAAATTATCCTTTTGTTTTTCAGCAGGTGTACATCTTCGCACTGTCGACTCTATAGGTTCGGGCACAAAGTCTTCCTGTCGAGCGCGCAGTAAGATACCAGAGCGTTGATCCCTCATTGTTCATTGAATGCCGGCTTTACTGCAGCGTGGCTGAAACAGCAGCGGTGATGTCTTTGCGTGGAGCTTCTGTACAAGGGCTGCGTGGCGTACAACGAGGCGTTGCATCCCACCCACTGGCTGCTAAACAAGAGGCACGCGTGCCAAGGATCATACAATCACGGATGTGGGACACTGGGATATGGAGGTGGCGCCAACCTGTGTCAGTTTGAGGGAGGCGCGCGAGTGCTGCGACACGCTGAGCTATGGCGTGAAGAACTTATTATGTCACTGTGAGCTAGTGGCGCGTCTATGACTCTTCAGGGCCATGGTGCTATTGGGCGTCTCTGGGGTTTATTGGTGGTTTTGTGTGGGCCCGTTTGGGGCTCTTTTGGGCGGTCGTGGGGCAATATTGACCTGTCCTGGGGCCTTTGGGGCCCATCGTGGGGGCCCGGGGGTGGGGCCAGGGGCACGGCCGGAGCGGGGGGGGGGGGCCGGTCGGTCGGTCGGAATAAGCAGGCGGGGGGGCCACGGGGCGGAAGGGGCGGACAGGGGGGCGACGGGGAGAGGGAGGGGAGGAGGTTGTCGGCGGGGGCCACGGGAGACTGAGGGGGGAGGCGCGGTAGGTCGGCCGGTCGGAATAAGCAGGCGGGGGCCACGGGGCGGAGGGGAGGGGGGGCACGGGCGGTCGGTCGGTCGGAATATGCAGACGGGGGTCACGGGGCAGACGGGCGAGGGGGAAGCAGGGGGGTGGGAGGGCACGGTCGGCCAGGGGGGGGGGGGGCACGGTCGGTCGGTCGGTCGGAATAAGCGGACGGGGGCCACGGGGCGGCAGGGAGGGGCACGGCCGGTCGGTCGGTCGGAATTAGCAGACGGGGGCGGGGTGCACGGTCGGTCGGTCGGTCGGTCGGAACAAACAGGGGCCACGGGGCGGAAGGGGGAGGGACGGTCGGTCGGCTGGCGTAGGCAGACGGGGGCCACGGGGCGGACGAGGCGCGGGGGGGAGCACGTATCCTAGCACACGAAGCCAGCACACATCCCAGCACGCATCCCGGCACACGGAGGCAGCACACAGCCCTGTAAACATCCCTACACACGAAGGCAACACACGTCCCAGCACACATCCCAGCACACATCCCAGTCCAGCGCACACGGTCGGTCGGTCGGTTGAAATAATGCAGTGCGAGATCATACCGGCAGGTTTGATAATAAGGAAGAGGTGTGCGAGGAGGAGGGAAAGGTGATGGGATACGGGCGGAGGACAGGGAACGGAGGGGGGCACGGCGGGTCGGAATAAGCCAAGGGGGCACGCGGGACAGGGAGGGGAGGGGGCACGGCCGGCCGGAATAAGCCAGGGGGGGCCCGGGGGGAGGAAAATGGGAGGGGAGACGGGCGGAGGGAAGGAAGAGGGCGAGGGGCACGGTCGGTCGGAATAAGCCAGGGGGGGACACGGGACGGGCAGAGGGGAGGGGCCACGGTCGGTCGGAAGAGGCCAGGGGGGCGGGGCCACGGCCAGTCGGAATAACCCAGGGGGGGGCGCGGAGGACAGGGGGGCGGGGGCCCGGTCGGTCGGAATAAGCTAGGGGGGGACTCTTGGGGGGGGAGTGCAAAAAGGCCACGGGACGGGGACGGGGCACAGGACAGGGAGAGGGGAGAGGGCACGGTCGGTCGGAATAAGCCAGGGGGCGGCGAGGGGGGATAGAAATGAGGAGGGGGGGGGCGGAGGACAGGAGGGGGGCACGGTCGGTCGGAATGGGCCAGGGGTGCGGGGGGGCACGGGACAGGCAGAGGGGATGCGGCACGGTCGGTCGGAACAAGCCAGGGGGAGGGCACGGAGGAGTGGGAGGGGAGGGGAGGGGGCAGAGGACAAGGAGGTAAGGAGGACACGGTCGCTCGGAATAAGCCGGGGGCGACGGGGGGCGGATGATAGGGAGGGGAGGAGAGCATGGTCGGTCGGAGTAGGCCGGGGGGGATACGAATAAGGAAACGGGAGGCGAGGGAGGGGAGGAAATAGTGAGGGGAGGGGTGGCGGAAGACAGAGAGGAGGATGGCACAATCGGTCGGAGTAGCCAAGAGGAGGGGTATTGGGAGGGGGGTGGGGCCAGAGTGAGCGGACGAGGCAGGGGGAGGGGGGGCGGAGGATGGGAAGAGGAAGAGCACGGTCGGGCCAGGGGGGGCACGGGACGGGGAGAGGGGAGGGGACACGGCCGGTCGGAATAAGGAAGGGGGGGCAGGGGGGGGAAAGGGGGAGGGGAGGGAGGGGCGTGGGACAGGGAGAGGAGGGGGGCACGGTCGGTCGGAATTAGCTTGGGGGGGGGGCACGGGACACGGAGATGGGAAGGGGCACGGCCGGTCGGAATAAGGAGAAAAAAGGTTCGAGGGGGAGGGAAAGGAGAGGGGAGACGGGCGGAAAACAGGGCGAGGAGGGGGGCACGGTCGGTCGGAATAAGCCAGAGGGGGCACGGGACAGGGAGAGGGGAGGGGGCACTGTCGGTCGGAACAGGGGGGAGGAGGGGGAGGAGGGCGAGGGGGGAGGGAGAGGAGGGGGGCACGGTCGGTCGGAATAAGCCAGAAGGGGGGCGCGAGACGGGCAGAGAGGAGGGGGCACGATCGGCTGGAATAAGCAGGGGGGCACGGAGGACAGGGGGCGGGGGCACGGTCGGTCGGAATAAGCCAGGAGGGGGGGGAGGGGCTCGTGGGGGGCAGGGCAAAAAAGGCCACGGGACAGGGGACAGGGCGCGGGACAGGGAGAGGAGAGGGGGCACATTCGGTTGGACAAAGCCAGGGGGGGCGAGGGGTGAGGGAAAGTGGGACGGGAGGGTGGGCGAGGACAGGGAGAGCGGGGGAGGCAGGTCGGTCGGAACAGGTCAGGGCGGGGCACGGGACGGGGAGAGGCGAGGGGGCACGGTCGGCCGGAATAAGGACAAAGGGAAGGAGGGGGGAAGGAAAGCGGAGGAGAGGGGGTCGGAGGGCAGGGAGAGGAGGGGGGCACGGTCGGTCGGAGTAAGACGGGGGGGGCACGGGACAGGCACGGGGGAGGGGGCACTGT